GACCTGGAACGTCTGCGCCTGGACCTCCGCGACGATACTCTTCTCTCCCTCTTCTCCACAGACCGGGATCTGGATTTGGAATGCTTTTTTCTGGACACCGAGTAGTTTCTGCTCCTGGAACGGGCTCTTTTAGAGGTCAAGCGCCTGGAAGTAGAGCGCGACCTTGACTTCTTCTTCCGCTTCCTAGACCTGGACTGAGACTTGGAGCGGCTCCTTTTCTGCTTCTTTGAATCATGTTTTTTCTCACTGCTTCTATGGCTGCTTTTCTCAACCACGTTCTCCAGTCTCATGAGAGTCTCCTTCATTCGTGCTGCCACATCGGGTTGCACATCAGATGTTTCTGAATCTCTTTTCTCCGAGTCTTCTTCCGGAGTTGCTTCTTTGACATCCTCAGTCTCTGGAATGACTTCTGCCTGGGCTGCTTCTGCTTCAGTCTCAGGTACTGGAGCTGCTTCCAAATCTTTTGTCTCTGCCTCCAACCCCACGGCTGCTGCATCTTTCAGCTCTACATCAGCCTGAGGAGCTGCTTCTGAATCTTGTGTTCCTGCCTCAGGAGTCACTGTGGAGTCTTTTTCCTCTGCAGCATGTGAAGAACTAAGAACTGTTTCTGCAATGGGCTCAGATGGTTGAGTCTGCTCTGCATCTTCCTTCTCAATCAGCATATCCTCCACCTGTTGACCCTGCACTCCTTCTGCATATTGTACCTCTGCTGTCACTGTGTGTTCCTGTGTTGTTTCCAGACCCTTCACATCCCCTGGTTTTGGAACTGCTTCAGAAGACTTCAGTCCAGCAGCACCCAAGATTTCTGGAGCCTCTTCTGAACTCTTCCATTCTGCAGCAGGTTTTACCTCTAGAACTCCCTGCAGCTCTTCTGGCTTTTCCGTGTGCAAAGATTCTGGAACAGCTGCTGAAGCATCATCCACGGCTACCTCAAGCTCTCCACCTGTTCCAGAATCTTTCACCTCTACTGTTGCAGACTCTTTCATGCTCTCCAACCAACCCACTTCTCCAGCTTCTGGTGCTGGCCCCAAATATTTTGCTTTCTCCATTTCTGAGGGCTCATTTCTTTGCATGCTGGTCCTTGTTCCAAGTAGATATTCTACAGCAGGTCCCTGAGTTTGCACATCTGTCAATTCTGTCACATTGTTTTCTTCCACGCTGGGCAAAGACTCCAGTACTGCCGTTGAAAGACCTACTATTTGTTCCTGAACAGGTTTTGAACTGGTTTCTAAAGCTTGCACAGGTTCTAGGACTGCTTCTCTGCTCCTTGCCTCGGCTTTGCTTGGATCTTCTGGAGCAAGTTCAGAATCCCTTCTCTCCCCATGCACCTCGACTTGTGAGGTTCTGGTGTGTGCCATGACCTGAGTCTGTGAAGTGATGGAACTCTGTGTTTGGTTTGCACTGAGAGGTTCTCTCTCTGCTGTGGTTTGCCAGGGCATCACTCCTGACAATGCCTCTCTAACTGGTTCCACGCTCTCACACGCAACCACAGGTTCAGGAGTCCTTCCTAAGGCAAGTCCTGGACTTGCAACAGCCCCACAATGCACGGCCTGTTCTGAAGCTTTCACACCTTCCCCTTGCAAGGCCAGTGAAGCTGCTGTGAAAGCCACTGGTCTCAGGACTCCTCCCAGACCTTGCACATCTTCCTTCTGCAAAGACGGGGCAGGTGCCAAACCTCTCACGTTGGATTCACCCTCAGGTCTCGGCAATGAAGTACCTTCTGAGCCTCTTGCTTGTGGACTTCTAAGCCCCTCTGCCACGTGGAGCTGTGGAGCTGTTTGCTGGACCAAGGCCTGTCCAAGGGCTGTGGGTTCTGCAGTTGCTCTTCCCCCTTCTGGCTCGGCAGCCGCGCTGGCCCCTGTGGGTGCTGCTGGCAGCACGGGCCCCACGGCTCTGTCCACGCCCCTCGCTTCTGGGAAGACTCCACGCTGCAGGAATGCTCCTGCTGCCCCCAGCACTGCTGCAGGAGCTGTGGGACCTTCCACGCTTTTGCTTTGCAGACTCTCAGGAGCTGTAACACCCACAGGTTCCAGAGTTGTTTCCGAAGCTTTCACACTTTCCATCGCTGGTTCAATATCCTTCATTTTTGTGGTGGCTCCTGCTCCTGGGGGTGTTTTGGCACTTTGTATATCCACTGGGGCCAAAGGGCTGGCTGCAGATAATTTAAAAGGATGTTGCAAAGGTACATTTGCTCTCAAGACACTTGAACTCCCCATGGGGAGCGTCATGCTCAAATTCCCAGCTATAACAGAGGGCTGCTGGGCTGGCTCCAAAGTTCTGCTCACACCCCCCAGTTCCAAAGATCTCTGCACACTTTGCACATTTCCCATATGCACACACTTTTCCGTTGCTTCTGGAATTTTCTGTACTTGTCCAGCCACAGCCACGTGAGCTACTGTCACAGCACTGGGATCTGCCCAATTTGTAGATGTAGGAATTGCTGTCCCACCACTTGCCAAGGACACAGACTCCGAAGCTGTTCCTAAGTCCTGTGCTCCCCTCTGAGACACTGACTGCAGAGATGCTTCCGAGTAAGGCAACACCTCCATGGCCTCGGGCTCGAGAGCTGCATCCAAAGCTTTTACCTCCTCAGAGCCTGGAGACTTCAGAGTAACTTCTGAACCTCTCAGCGCTTCTACTGAATCTTTCTGAAACTCAGATTTACTGGCAATTCCAGATGGGATGCTGGACCAAGCATCGTTTCCAGTATCAACAACACTGGCATTAATAGCTACAGGATAAATATTTCCGTGGGACTGCTGAATTTGTTCTTCACTAGTGCAAATCGTGCTGTGAGCTATACCGGTATTTTCTGGGATATTAGACTGGTTGCTTTCTAAATTAAATGGAGGATTTGTTGCACACAAAGTCCCCTCCCCACTTCCAAGGTTTTCTGCAGATTGCTGGGAATCAGTTACTGAATGAGAAACAAGTCCTAAAGCTTGATTATCAAGCCCCTCACTCGCTGTTGGGCACAGCTGTGGCTGCAGGTGCCCAGCCAGGCTGGGCTCTCCCACCCCTCCCTGCTGGACATTCACTTGGGAGCCGGATTTCTCCAGGAGCAGGTGAGGAGCCGGCGGCACGTCCGCGGCTTCTCCGGGACGTGCACCCAGCTTGGCTTCCTTTGGCTGCTTTTTATGCTTTTTCTCTTTCTTCCTTTTCTTCTTCTTTTTCTTCTTCTTCTTGCTTTTGTGCTTCTTGTTCTTCTTTGCTTTTTTCCTAGGAATTTCATCTTCTCCAGTGGAGCTTCTTTTTGTAGACTGAGTACTATTTTTCACAGTATTTTTGTCTACATCTAGAAAAAACGATATTTTCCTTGTAAGCATTTTTAAGACTGCATTTTAAAAATTCCTTTAGACTATCGATGAAAAACACGGGCAGAAGTACAAAACAATTACACTTGCAAACCCTGCCTGACCCGCTGAGCCACCACACACCAACAGCACACGCTCCTTTTCTAGGTCTTCTCTCTTCCCCTCAGGGGTCACTTAAACTAAACACAATTAATTCCTCTTTCAAAAAACTACCCAAATCTTCTTGTTCAACAACACAGGTCCAGTGGGAACAGGGCTCTTTCCAAGAAGTATCACAGAATGGTCAGGGTTGGGA